GGGCGGGTCAGGAGAGGTCTGCCACGCCATGTGGTCTTCTCGGGGGCAGACAGGAATCGAACTCATGCGGAAGTGGCTTAAGCTTCTTTGTGCAGTGCTTTAACCCGCTGCACCACCAGGGAGGGCCCTCATTTCTTTTTTTAGAGCTGTGTAATTCTATTTATGCAAATGTACCAGAGTTGATATATTCATTCATCTACTGAAGTTCTTAGACTTCTCATTCATTTGTCAGGTACCAGACTCTATCTTTCAAACTTTATGTCTATTATTATGTTATGTATGTTATATATATTAATCATATTATAGTTCTTGTATGCATAAATAAATAAAAAAATAAATAAAACAGCCATGGATATAGATGTAGAAGTCTCTATATACATACACCTGTAGATGGGGAGAATGAGCCATAAGTAAAAATGTGTTTTTTTCTGTATGGTAGGTCAGTTTTTCTTTTGGCTTATTTGAATTTTTCCCCATTAGTATATAATAAAGATTTAAAGACTAAAAAGACACTATGTGTACTTTCTCTAATATTTCCTGCATGAATGTGCCTTGCACGGTTCAGAACCATCTTCTCTGCCTGGAGCACAGCCATCCTTCCGTGTGGCCAGGTCGCCCACCTGACCTTAGCTTCTAGCTGCACTTTTACACTTTTCATGGTAGCTCATTACCACGTGGATGCCCAGATGTGGGGGCCTGTTCACGGAGGCTTGGCATTGTCATGTTTCAGAGAATCCTTCCCCATACAATGTCCCAAAAGGGGAACCCGTGCCAATATCAAGGGAGATCCCCTGCAGTTCCCTCCATCCTGTATAGTTTGGGGAGCCCCTTTCCTTCTCCATGGAAGTAAAGAGACTGTATTTTTTCAACAGGTAACAACTTCTGTGGTCCTTTTCCTCGTACCTGACTAGGAGAAGGCCTTCTGAAAGACCGGCTGGATGAGTCACCCCACCTCCCGCCATCTTGGTTTCCCTTCTAGCCCCTCTTCTCAGGGCATCTAGTGGGTGACACAGATTTCCTCGATAACCTGGGGTCTACTTGTCAACCTCAGCATGTTGCCTCCAGGAGCCCCTCTGGGCCTGTGGACAGCTGGCCAGCTGTGTCCATAGTGGTTTTTACTGTGTGTGATAGCCGTCTACTCATCTCTTCTTTTTTTTTTTAAGTTTTATTTACATATCAAGAACTGGGGTACAGACCAGAGGTTCTAGAGGTGAGAGGATTCACCAGACAGAATGGGGAGCAGAACAGGCAGATTGACTGAAATACACTGCTGAGGGGAGCAGCGGGGCAGACAGGAGAGGTCTGCTGTGCCATGTGGGTCAGCTTCCTGCCAGGGGATTGAACGTGTGCTGCAGCGGCTGTGGACGGCTTCACCGTGCTATGCTTTAACCCCTGTGCCACCAGGAAGGGCCCCTCATCTGATTTCCCCCATCCTTCCATGTGTCCTCTCCCTACTTCCCTACTTCACAGTTCTCTCTAGTGTCCTCGGGGCCTTGACGGGAGCCATTCGGAGTCCTGCTCCTTTTCTGCTCCGATGATGCCTGTGTTCATCTTCTAAGCACAAGGGGCCCCAGCCAGACGGGGGGAAAGTGGCTCATCTTTTCCTTCCTCTACCTTAATGCAGGGAAGGTTTTGGAAGTCCAGGAGCATGGTGAGTGGGGAAACAGAAGTTTGATCATGAACTCCCCCTTCCTTTAACACAGCAATGATTTTGGGCTACTCTTGAGGTCTGGAGTTTCTCCTCTCTTTAGAAGAGCGGGAATCTCCTAAGTGCAGAGTGGCTCATTCTCCTGGCTGAAAGCCTGCACCCCTGTTTTTCCTCCACCTGGGCAGCAGCCAGGGGCCCATAGAGCACCCAGAGAGGAACTGCAGGGCAGGTGGCCAGCCCGTGCCTGGAGGTGAACATGGCCACAGGGAGGTAGCTTGTGACTTTCTCCTACCCACAAACTGCGAAAGTTCCCTCCTCACAAACTGAAATGAAACTCCTCAAGGGTGGGACTTCCACATCCACTTTCATACTCATTTTGTCTGAACCGCAGAGGGGGTGCCCAGGGTTCTGGTGGCTTCTTGCTCAGCTCTCTTGGGCTGAATTGGTCTTTGGCCTGTCAGTCAACCAACTGCCTGAATATTCGATCTGCCAACAGAACATGGTTGCCACCATGCAGAGCAAATGCTCCCAGCCTCTTCTTACAAAGTGGGCCCCATCTTAGTGAGGCTTCTGGAGCCTTTTCTGGGAGGATGTGGAGAGCATGGGGATGTTTCATCAGTAACTTATGCTACAGCAGCAAAGGGCCAGGTGCTCTAAAGTTCATTTTGTGGTAGCTCCTCTCTCCAAATGCCTTAGGAGGAGACCAGCAACTCCTAGGGCTCCCCAACCAGTGCCTGAGGAACTTGGATTCTCTCCACCCATGGGCCCTGGACTATGATAGGTCCAGGAGCCAAGGCTGAAGGGCTGAGCTGACCTGGGCCTGCAGTCCAGGAGCAGAGCTCTCTGCCCTCTTGTGTCCAAGTGAATCAAGACTCTGCAACTAGATGACTAGCCTTGGGTAGCAGGGATGCTCCTATGTCAGGGACTGGCAGTGAGGTAGAGCAAGGCATTCAGTGTGTGGGATTACCTGATGTCGAAGATTAGAACAGACAGCAGGCCTGGACAGAGAGTAATAGGGGGGACAAGACTGGAAGGAGTGAGGGCATCATCCTTGTGATCCAGAGCTTGGGAAGTATGGTGTGGGGGTCCCTACTCTGGGCTCTCTGGATTCCCTACTTAGAGAAACACTCTAGCTTGAGGCCTATTCAGCCTGGAGAGAGTCACAAGTGGCCTCTAAGTATCATGAGTTGACCAAACAGGATTGGGCTGAGTGGGGACTCTGGATTCTCTCAAACATCAAAGGCAGTAGAAGCTTCCTCAGGCACAGGCTGCATTCCCTTGGCTTGTTTAACCTGCATCCCTGGTCCCCAGCGCCACCCTGTTGTCCAGCTCCACTGGTTCAGAAACATGAGACGGGCCAGCCCTCTAGTCCTGCATTGGAGGTTTTAGGCATTTCGGAAAAGGAGTATGTCATGCTTCCTTCGTGTCTTGCTGTAGGGATGGATGAGAACTGCTGGGTGTGGGAACAACGGATGACAAATTCCAGGCACTGACTGTGGGTTTCAGTTGTATCACAGACTGAGTTGCAGTTGAGTAATTATCAGCTGTCACCTTTTCCATTCATTTTTCTCCTGTCTCTACCTTCTCAATACCCACCCATCCAGTCATCATCCACCCACCCATCCACCCACCCATCCATCCACCCAT